GGAGGAAGATCATTAATGACCTGTTGCTTTTTTACTTGTATTAGTAACAGCATGAGGGTTAGATGCTCACAAAACAAGGTAATTCCCACATGGTACCAATATGATGTCAACAGTTTTCCAGTCATTTCCTCTGTGGTTTAACATAACAATATAGACATATAAAGATTTCTGCAGTATTGCTTAGCCTCAGTTTTGAGAGAAATTTCATCATGGTATCTGTAATTGTGTATGCATATGCTTTATTTCAAGCATGAAGAAATTAGGTAACTAGACAATTGTAAGAAATCCTAGACATGTTTTCACCCAGGTCACTTAGCTTTTGAAAATAATAATGTCCAAATAATTTACATTTGCTTAACACGGCCTTTGGGGAGACCACTTTTTAGACAATCAGCTTAGTTGTTCTGGATCATCCAATACAATTTATAAAAAGCAAAAGAGGCATAAACAAAATATATGTCTATGTTGTGCATGCATTTCAATATACAGTTCTTAAATATTAAACAGCACCCAAGGTTCTGTGGGCTTGAAATGCCAGCATGAAAACTGGTCATAATTTTAGAGGTAGATGTGCCTATTGAAGCACTAGGAGAGTATTTCTTGTTTTGTATTTGTAAAGTGCTTGTGGGAAAGCATCATTCAAAATGCCCACGACTTCCGGAGAATGCAGTCTGATTCCCCCACCCCACTAAAAGTCATCCTTGCCTAACAGCAAGACAGTTCTTCCCCTGTCCAGATGTGAACTTCTAAGAGACATCCATGTCCACATGGGGAGTGAGGAGCTGCTCACGAAGAACAAAGCTAGAACTCTTTAGGCATGATGGAGAAGCAGTGGGCGACTGGCTGCTTTCTTGGGTAGGGGGCAGGGCTGGGTTTTGCCAGAGAAAGAACAGAGACTGGTCAAAAGAAAATGATGGAAGTGGAAGGAAGGAAAAACAAATGGAAGAAACTCAGTGGCAGAAAGAGAAATAGATGGCTGAATCTGCTCTTGACTCTGCCTGCGTTTGGCTCTGTGTCCACCAACAGACAGATGTAGCCCTAGCTCGTTTTCCATGGGGTTACTAGACCTTCAAAAAAGGTCTAGTATGGCCTATGTGTATGGCCTAGGTGCTCACTGGCCAAATCGGTAATCCGGAAGAGGTCAGGGGACAATTAACGATTTACCCCTCATTCTTCCTACTCTGCAGTGCTGGCATGTTCGGAGGAGCACCAAACTGTTAAAGAAATATACTAATGATCCTTCATGTAAAGACAAAGTTATAAATTAAGTATAAAAAAGATGAAAGAAACTTTAAAAATTTATGTAAAACTAAAGAGATAAAGTACTTAATTGAAAAGTATAAAGTAAGTATAGGTGATGTTTAATGTTCATAAGGAAAAATAGCAAAAGGGGCATAAATTGCAATTAAGAAAAAAAACCTTGTAGAATAACTGTTTGCACCTTTTCCAATAAAAATAATAAAAATGCCAGATCTTCTGGGTATACTTAACTATAAAGCTGCTTATTAATTAAACACAAGGTGGAATAACAGAGTACAAGAAATGACTGAATTAAAATCATTTTTCATTCTCATAACAGTGCTGAAATCATGTTAATAGTACCAAAATCCTGGGAACTCTTCTCCTTCCTTTTCTAAGTGGGATGAATTTTCACGGAATCCAGATGCAAATATTTTGAAATACTTCCTTGCACTTGGCTTTTGGTTCCTTAGACCCACCAAGCCACCCCCCTTCAGTAAAGCCCCACCTCCTTAGAAGAAAACAAGGAGTGAAGCTGGATGAGACTCATTTGTGGCCTCAAGGAGAATTGTTTAAGGCTGGAGCTAAGTTTTTTTTTTCTTTCTTCAATGAAAAAGGCACAGGAGAAGCAAATCAGTTCAGGACCTACATGATACCTACAGGAAGAATCCCTCTGGACATCTAAATTTGCTACTGCTTGCCACCTAGATCAGGACAGTAGCAGCAGGCAATGCCAACATGTTGCTCAGCCAACACCTTCATGCAGCACAACAAAATGGAATTAAACTAGATGATGTCAAAAGGTGAAGCTTGAGGGAGGTCCTTCAGAGGAATCCCCATTATATAATATCACTTGGCTAACTGGATATATCCTGAGAGGAAATAGGGCCAATCTAGGTCTCCAACGAGACGATACTATTTCCCCAATAATACTTTTTCTCCCTCTCAAGTAATCTCAACCTATTAAGGTCTGCTACTCTTAACAGTCTACAAGTCTGAGTATCACTTAAAACATCATCTCCCTAAGTTCATTTTTTGGCCAGGCATACCCCACCCTCAAGTTCCTCTAGTGTTCTGGGTTAACAGCCTGAATCCGACTCCCTCTCAGGTGTTGGCTAATTACCCAGTCAATTGCCTTAGGAAAGCTACGTTATAGCAACATTGCTGCTATGTGAACGTTAGGTCTACCTTCCATTCAAAAGGGTTTACAAACTAAATTCATGTGTTTCTCAAAGTTCAGAGAGGACACTTCTCAGATTAATTTCAAGCAATTGAACAGTATGTATCAACCAGAAGCACTCTCAGAAGGCATAATAAATCTAGAAACCAGCTACATATCAGACTTCTAATTGAAATTATATCATTTGTTTGCTGTCAAGATACCAGATTTTTTTCACAAGAGGACTTATGTAAAACACTTCAGTGTCATCTACACAAAACCTGTCACCTCCCTAGAGTAGCAGTTAGCCACAGTTGGTTAAAGATTATTGGATGCAATGAGTTTAATGATAAAAACCACAGGTCTAGCTTGGATCAGTTACAGAATTCTAAATTCAGACTAGATTCAATCAGATTTCAGAATACAGAATGCTGGACTTGTGTCCAACCTTTTGAAAAATCGTACCTGGCTGATCATTTATCTATGACTTACCAAATGTGATCCAATCAGGAATACTATCCACTGATACTAACATTTGTCTCTTGTCATTATACATCTTGCCCAGGCTGTTCTGATATCAATTAACTTCCTGAATTAACTATGACACATAACTTAAACAAATATTGCTATTATGTTAACATTTATTATTTTANATAAGATAATATAAGATAAGATGATTCACTGTTAAAATATAGGATAATATATATATATAAAGACACATTACATATTTTTTTAAATGAGTAGCAGAATGTTATGATCTAAAAACAATAAAAATTTGAAGAAAATTTTTGCTCAGTGTAGTTTGGAGTGTCTTATTTTTAATATGGTTTACCATTGTTTTATTGTGTCTTAATTTAACTCACTTAGTCACTCTGATCAATAGGGCTTATTCCTTAACAGTTTTGTTTGGGATTGCAGCCATAACTGATTAATGCTTGTTGAATGTTATCATATTTTCCCGAAAATCAGACCTAACCTGAAAATAAGCCCTATTATGATTTTGCAGGATGCTCGTAATATAAGGCCTACCCCCAAAATAAGCCCCAGTTAAGTGAAAGCCTGCCCTCCACCATTGTGCAGCATTGTACAGCAAACGGAACAAGATAACATGACTGTATTTAAATAAACGTAGATTCTTGCACATGAAAAAAAATAAAACATCCCCTGAAAATAAGGCCTAATGTGGTTTTTGGAGCAAAAATTAATATAAGAGCCTGCCTTATTTTCAGGGAAACATGGTAAACAGATTTCAAGTTAGACTGAAACCATTGGGAGAAAGAAGAGGCACATGTTACATACAGCTGCTACCATGGCTGTTGTTAACAATGGAACTGTTGCAGACTAGGCTTTCAGTACTACTTGGCCCCAATATTAGGATTAATGCTTCATGCAAGTAATCAAGTGCACCTCAGTTCACAAATGCATATGACATAACTTAATTTGTTACAGAGCAATCCTGTGCATGTTCACTTAAAAGGCAGTCCTGATATAACAGATATATAAGGACTGTTTTTCATTCTCTTTTTCAAAAGTTAAAGTCAAATATGATAAGTGAAAATAGAGTTTTAGATACAGCATTGGAAATACCAAATACATCCTGAAAGACACTGATGAGTCACCAAAATTAAACTGTATGGTTTAATTATACAGGGCTTTTAAACAACAGGAACAAACAATACAACAAATCCCCTTCCCATCTTTAGAGTACCTCATGAAAATACTTCAATTATTATTATTTATGTCATCTTACAACTAGGAATACCTCTACCACTACAATTGCAGGATCCTTCAATAATTCCTTTTTAACTGTGAAAAGAGTTCTATATTTGTATTTCTAGTATATTTGCGCATAACATTTTATATTTACACATCCTAACTAATGCCTGTAAGAAATTTGGTTTTTTAACAGGGTGTGTTCAGATCTTCTGCAAGAAAATTAAGTGGTTCAATCAAAAACTTATAATTAACAGAGACTCATAATTCATGGCTGCTGCTTGTTTGTGTGACCGTGGCCTCCTACAGATAGCAAAAGAATCACAGCTCACAATGCTAGATCGGCTGCATTAAGTTTGAGCATACTGATTGATGAACAACCCAGTCCTCTAGTTTTCTGCAGAATTAATAAGATAAGGCTGTTTTTCAACCTTCTTTTTCAATCCTCTCCTGCTGTGATGCTATATAAGCATAGATACAGAATACTTTCAATTAATGAGAACATAACTATTAAGCTAAGGATGCAAAAGGAACTGTTATAGGATCATAATAAATGGAAGAATATTTTACAACAGAATTCTAATCTTTTTTAATTTTTAGTGAATCGGCATTTCATTTAAACATTTTCCGAGCCTACAATTACTTTTTTTCAAAATTATAGTTGGTGAGCTTTTAGCAAATATATACATTATATATTATCTTCTATATATTTATCACTTATTAAATAGATCTTTAAAACTCGTACACAGCAGCAAGTCTTACTTCCATACTGGACAGCAGTAATCCAATAGGATTAAACTCAGCAAATAATTTAATAAAACTATACAAGAAAAATGACTTAACCATAAGGACAATGCAGCACTAATGTGTTTCATAACTAGTGTCTTACCAACTGTAAAAGGGTCATTGCACATGTCACTTCTGTTCTCCTTCCAGGCCAGCAGATACTTTATGCTGACGTGATCTGCAGCTTCTGTATGACTGTTAACTTTCAGCATCATGTTATGAGCTTTTCCAATGCCAGAAAATACCTTTGTTTCATTCAACAGGGCCAAATCAGAAAGGGCATTTGCTGCTGTAAATGCCTGATGAAAATATTCACAGGCTTTGGAGTAGTTCCCCTGAAAAAAAAAATAATAGAAATAGACATAAATATATATACCCCAATATTTATATACTTCAACATTCCAGATTTCTTCCATTTAAAGCCTTTAAAGGGTTATAACTTATTGCTAGTCAGGCTAGTATAGTAACAATCACAAAATATCCTTGGACACAGGAATTTACTTCATTGGGCAAAACCTTGTTGGTGTAGTTACACAAGTGTAAACTTGATCTGGGTGCTGGAAATAATCAATTTAAACGTACTGAACACTTCAAGGAAGCTTTTGGGTTCTGAGGCTCCTAGAAAGCCTGAAAGGGTGACAGGAAGTTTTAACTCCCCTAAATTATTAATTAATTGTTTCCAGTGTCTGGATCTGATTTATGCCAGCGTGACTACATCATCTGGATTTTGCCCAGTTTTGTGACTTGTAAAACAGAAATAATGTGAAGTTCTAGGAAAATTCAAAAACCTGTGCAGTATTCTAGCTTGTTACCTCTGAGTTGGCTAAATGAATGATACTGTCATAATACACATTTTAAAAGGGTCAAATATCACTTTGCAAGAAAGAAGAATACTGGCGGAGTTAATAGCTCTTTGCAAATGCAGGTCTGTACTTCATAACAGCCAGAACACGATGAACTGCTGAAGACCAATGTGTTTTCAGGTTAGGGTCCCAACGCTTCTTAAACTCCTTTCTCAGCTCTACCATAGAGTCTGCTGACATGTGACCTCTGAGAGATCAGAAGTCTGCTTTTCCACAGTAGACATTCCTCTCCATGAGGGAAAGTTTTGTTGCCTGTGCAGAACTCAAACAGACAGTCCTCAGCATTTCAAAATATATATATAAAAAATCATCTGGATGTCTTTGCATAATGCTTCATCTCTTTTCTGGGCAGAAGACTATATATCACCCAGTCTAGCTTCATTGTGAAGTAGTTCCTTCTATAGATATTCTGCCTTTTTATTCTACTATTTTAAAGTAGAAAATTGAATCAGCAAAGCTAATATTATTTTATAAACTTTTGTAAATTTCTATAGAATCTAGATTTCACGTACTCCAAAAAAATAATAATAAAAGCTTGGAATCATGCTAAATGCAATTTGAAAAAGATGTTTCAGTCTGCTTAGAGAGCAGAGAATAACAACGTGTCATCCTGTGGAGCTGGTGAGTGTTATATCAACGATATATTGCTATCCAAGATCATAAGAATTAAAATGCAGATTGTAATTTGACCCAAGTGAACCACTTGCCCACTATGGTGGTGGTATCAGGAGTCTGAGAATAAAACTGTGAAAAGCTTTTCCTGCTCATTTGTTAAAATGGCATAAGAGTAGTCATTAGCTTTTATTCCACCTGTTGACACTTATGGAGAACAATTGAAGTCTATGGTATCTCTTCCAGAAATCACTTCTGTCTTTTCTTCTAAGACTAAAGATATGTATATTTACATTCGATATGTTCAATGCATACATAAATACTTCTCTCTCACCTCATTGTTAACTGATATTTAATTGCTTGCAGGCATAAATTGCAACAAGCACATTATTTTCCCCATAGGCTGGGATTCAGCATCACCAGTTCATGCTAGTTAATAATAATTAACAATGATTAATTCATATTTAATTCCATTACCTGTACCGATTTGTTTTGTGCTACATAAATGAAAGAATGTTTAGTCCAGTACTACTTTGCTCTACTTGTAGTTATATCTGTGAAGATTCTCAGTAGTTGTGTTTTCTATGCTTCTTAGACAACAGTACTTTCCTGCCCATTATCTGCTAAAATTTTGTTTTATTAGAGATTCAAAGCAAAACAAAATAACAGCTGCTATTTTCAGGAACAAAATATTCCACTTTGACATGTTGATGAAGAGACTTATGAAGAGGGTCTGGACTGGCAAGGTGGTAAATTAGCAAACTGCTTTTGCTGTTGATGGCATATCTACCAACTGCAAGGTCAAAATTGAGATGTAATATGTAGCTATAGACTAATTTCTTTGCTCTGGTTATATGCTCATCAATGTGATCGAGTTTGTCATCTGCCTTTGAACTAATTAAGTCTTCTCAATTGGTAGTGTCTTCACTCATATAATGAACATCCAAAGTCAAACCAGGCATGTCTTTTAGGTGCTATTAACAACTATGTATACTAACATGTGCAATCAACACTTGATTGCCAGATGTCACTCTGTACTGACCTGCTGCTTTTGTGCTTCAACCTGAAAAATGGCTGTTTCCATCTTCAGGTAAGTTGTTCAAGAAAGGCACCAGCCTTTCTCATGAATATTGCTGACAAGCTTGGCAATTAGAGAATGTAAAAGAAGGGGCTGTTGTAGAATACATACTAACATCCAACTTGTTGCTCTCCTTATAAGCTGGAGCTGGACAGAATGGAGACTTGGACAGCATCTATAATGACTGAGTTTAGTGTCAGATAGTTTAAAAGAAATGCACCATCTTTATCCTGTACCTTGTAAAAGTGACCTGTCTTTTTCTGATACAGGCAGAAGAGAAGAAGGTGCTTGCCATGACAGATAAGAGGTAAGGAAAGAGAGTGAGTTATACATACGGATTCTTGAGTTTTGTAAATCTTGGTTTCAGCACAGCATTGCTGGTATGAAGAAGAACAGAACAGACTTGGCTGCTTGGAGTATCTATGCCAGTCATGCCTTGTTCAGATGGGATGCTAGAGATCATCTTGTTCATAAGATCTGGGACAAGGTACATCTCATCTTCCTGGAGATATTCCTCCATGGTGTACGGTGGGGCTCCCAAGTATTTGGCCCTTTGTATAAGTTACCACCGACCGTCCAAAGTTGAGTGCTTTCATAAGGAAATCTGGGAATAACTAGGTTCTGAAAAGTACTTTGATATGCTCAGAGAATCCTAAAAATGGTAGTTAATAGTTAGGGCATGGTTTGATGAGGAAATAAACATAAGAAGAACTGGACAATGATTTCACATTCTGAATAGGAGTTTATGGCTGAAATGCTGTTGACAGAGTTGCAGTGTGCTATAAGAATTATGTCATCAGCTGTGGCTGAGCATTAAACAAATGTCCTAGAGCCATTCCCTGGTACTGGGGTCCCTAGGGACTGGTGGTAGCAATTTTCTAGCTTTAATTTGTCCCCCCCTCCCATTCTGCAGCTCCCAAAGGATGCCCAGGACAAAGGGGATCCCTAGGGATTGTTGAAAGGAAGCTTTTTATTGTCCTGAAATGGTGGCAGGGGTGGGCAATTAATTTCTATAGGGGGGGCACATGAAAAATCTGAACTGTGTTCGGGGGCCAAACAAACTTTACTTACAAATAAAATGAAACAGTGATGTTATGATTGTTTTTATTTTAAACTTGTTAATCTTCACAAATACTAAAGAGGTTTTTTGCGGTACGTTAAAGATAAGCAACTGATCAACTTTAGACAAAAAGCTATAAATGGTTTTGATGTTCAAAACTGTCCGTGGGCCGGACAGGAGCGGCTTGCGGGCTGCATGTGGCCCTCAGGCTGCACTTTGCCCAGGTCTGGGTTACAGCATGGCCATGGCTGATGATGTCATCCTTACAGCATGGTGTACAGTTATGCAACAGGATTCAGCCTATGTGTTGCATTTCATCCCAAGAACGTCTGCTGTAATCAGGTTTAGTTTCCTCAAATACTAGAACTGGGGATTTGGCACTGATGGTAACACAGGTCAGAGGAGATGTGCTGGTGGATATCTGTCACACCTGAGCAGTATTCCACACTTTGTGACCCCTCTATTGTGACTGTCAGTACTGAAGGAGACTTCAGAGAAATGGGTGTTGTGGGTTTTTCGGGCTCTTTGGCTGTGTTCTGAAGGTTGTTCTTCCTTTCTTCAGAGAAAGATTATTGCCAGCTTTCTGCCTTTTGTGCTTCTTTCCCTTGGGTTCAAATGGTGCCACTCCTGCTGTTGGTCTCTGAAGCTTCATTTTTAATTCCTCCAGTACCAACTTGGTGTTGACTGGCAGTACCAGAGCCACAGGCTCCTTCGACACTGAAGTCAGGTTTGAAGGCTTTGATTCTCCATCCATAAGAGTGAGAATGAAGGAGGTGGTCACCAGCAATCAGCCACTAATTGGAGTGATCGGGTCTAAACCCTAAACTGTGAAAGAAAAAAAGGGGTTTTCCACAAATACTTGTGCACCTGAGTTACAACCTTGAGTTGTGAAAACTAAACAGCATTGGCTGGTAGCAATCTTGCATTTTATGCTGCAACAGAGGAGACATTTCAAATATCCATCCATGAAGAAACTTTTTAAGAAGTGCTTTTCTTAAAAAGAGATTTCTGAGCCATATGCCCTCAAGCTGAGGGCACCATAGCTGGAAAAAGTGAAAGAGCTTCTCCTTTCTCACATGGTTTGTTTAAAAATAAAAATGGACAATGGAAAGATATGCACACACAAGTGAGAGAAGCGATCAGCAGAAACAGAGAATGCAGCATGTTCCAGGAACGCTGCTGCAAGTGCACAGGACAGGAAGGGACTGAGGAAAGAAAAGTTCCATAGCATTATGTCCATGAGCAGGAAATCCTTTATTTGTGACTCAGAGATCATGAAGAATCAGTGTTCCTGGTTGTGTGGAAGTGTCTACAGATAGATGATGCTCTCTTATTCACAATCAGTCTTCACATGTGGAAAGCGCTGGGAAATTACATGAGCGGAAAGTGGAGCTGGCACACTTTCCTGTTCCATGTGTTGGAATGGGAATGCCTGAACAGAGTGTTAGTTTCAGTTGCTGAGTTCCAAGATTTGTTGTTAGTACAATAAGGCATCAAACAGCTAAGAAGCATTATTTACAGCAATGATATAATGAGACTGCAGATAATGGTATGGCTAAAAAGGGGATGTTCTGCTGATGGAACTGCTTTTCTAAGTGGAATCAGGGGAGACCAATTTCTTTTGTTCTTTGCACTCCTGTGTGAGCTACTCTGGTGGGCTGGGAAATATTTTGGGGTGGGGGAGGGAGGGTCAGTCTTGTCACAACTGTAGAATCTGCTGGTTTAATGTTGCATTTAGGCCACATTCTGGTCCAAATGTTTATGATCAGATCGTATGAATAGAGATGGGGGATATGGAAGGAGCCTCCCTGAAGAAAGTGAGGACTGTGAACACATTTGAGTATCTCCTGGGCAACAAGAGCACCCTGTCAGTTGATCTGTCCATTTTGGAGGGACCACTGGATTGCTCCTGACATGAACGAGGATGAAGAATACAGATTCTGACATATTTAATATTAACCTTGGCATGACATCTTAAATTAATACTTACGCTTGTGTTGTAAATGTTTCCAAGGAATGTACATGCATCCACTAGGCTTTGGTTCAGTTGAACCTTCTTGGCGATATTCATGAATTTTTCCATGTACATAATAGCATCCGCCACTTCTCCCTGACTAAGAGCAAACAAAATCTTCATTTTTATGAGCATCTTCATTATTCTATGACTAATTATCACTCGGGGTCCATTTATCAATCTGTACAACAAGCTTTGTAAAATAAATTTCTGTAACTTCATTTATTAGTTTGATTTGGAGAAAAAAAATTGCAGACTGCAGCTGCTACCGCACACTGTGAAACTCATAACCACGATGGCCTCCTTCAGGATGTAATTGCTGCTCTTTATCTGGGTAAGCCAAGGGTTCCTGGAGTCACACTACCTACTATATATGCACTGGATTGTAGGTGTTACCTCTAATTCCCAATTCAATATACACAACCCAAGGTCATTCCCAAATCTAAGCTGAATATTGGCCAATGCACATTGATAAGACATTTGCACATTTTTTAATAAAGGAAGAAATATTAACAGCAAAACATTTCTATCCTACTACTACAACAGCACACAGCCAGATGCTCCTGGTTTGTTTGTGAGTAAAACATCACACACTTTCTCTTTCTGAGTCTGTGTCATGGCTAGTGACCTTAATATTAGCAGTGAACCTGTGTATCTAATGTGGTACTGCAGAAAACTAAATGTCAAGTCACCAGTGAGCCACAACCTGCAGTCCTAATTCATAAATGTGTAGAAACTACTGTTTATAGGCAATGACAAAGGGAACAGTTTTCTAAGTATTCTACAGATTAACTTTCATGATAATGTCATGCCGGAAAATAATGAGCTTTAACAGAACGTGTCTCCCAAAACATGGCATGTTGATGTTGTCTAATCTCATACAAGAACAAAATATAAATATCATTCAAATGAATGCCAAAAGCTGAGGGAATGTGTAAGAGTACAATCTTGTACATGTCCACATGTACCATACTTTAGCAGTGCATTCTTATATGACGTTAAGAAACACTTATTTCAACATTTTAGAATGAGATGTTGCTCATCACCATAAAGGGTTATTATAATCTGGAAAAGAAAGCAATCAAGTGTTACGAGAATGCAAAATATATAGCAAATATTTACCAAATGTCATAGGGTTTCTAAAGTTTAAAATAAGAGTCACATTTTGAGGCCAGTTTTTCTTTCAACTGGGAGAAAATCAAACATTTCCACACAGAAAAGCTGAACTGATTTATATAAGTTAAAGGACAAGGTTAAAATGTTAGACAAATATTAATTCCAGTTTTTCTAGTTTCCTATATGCAGTGCACAGGTGCAACTTCAACAGCATATTATATGGTATAATCATTAAATTCATTCAACCAGACCTTAGAGAGTTAAAAACATATATTCTGAGGAAAAGTACTCCTCGGTCCAAAGAATGAGAATGAAACTGTGCAGAATATTTGTGTATCAAGGTGATTCCAGTTTCCAACTGGGAAAACAGGACTGTTAACACCCACATCCCCTGACAACTGTCCAATTATGTATATCACACTTGGCCTACTGTTTGCAGTAGAAGTAATCAATAAAGGATGTGGTTGAGTGAACATAGATTTTGGTTGAACCAATGCATGAAATCTTAATCATTTACTCAGAGTGGAGAAATCAAATAGAGCAGAGATGAAACAGCCACTGAGGGGTTTGTTGATTGTGCCACCAACTTTGTGGGCTAGAGGCTGAAAGTAATAAGTCAAATGGAATCAGTGACAGGAGAAAATGTAAAAAGGTTTTCTTAATGTAATGAATTAATAGAAATGTTTTTGATGTATTTTTGGTAATTTTTTATATTGCACAGCAAAATCCTCTATTTCCTTTATAGAAAATAAGAACATTACTAGGTCATATCATATATCTAAATAATAATAATAATAAAGGAATTAATGTAACCTACAGTCAAAAGGCAAATGCAGACACAGAGCTTTATTTTCAACCTTGAGAATAAAATTTTGCTACAAGACTAAAATGAATTTTATAAAGGTGCAAAATAGTTATGCAGGGAATACACCATAAACAAAAAGTGCTATCAGATTATTATCTATTTAGTCACATCAAACTTTTTTGTTCTGTTAAATACCTCTTTACTTCAATATAAATTTTATTCATATAGCTAAACTGAATCTGCTTTTTGAATCACTGTGCTATATTTTAAACAGAATCAATCCCGAACTTCAGAAAGTAGAATCTATCAACAATTTTCAATTCTTATTTAGCAGATCCAGCTCCAATGGCTACATAATCAGAGTATAAATCCATAATGTCTTCCACCCTTTCATCTTTTCTCCCAGTATTCTGATGCTGGTACAATCTAAACTTGAAAAATAATACTGTTGTGTGGGTTTTTTTCCCCCTTCCAGTAAATTCTGACTCATGATGACTTCATAAATTAGGATTGTGCAGGTAGCAGTTCTGCTCATCACTTACTGACTCAAGGCCATAGCTTCTTTGATTGAGTCAACCTCTTATTTAGTCCTCCCCTTTTCCTGTTACCTGAACGCAATTATCAGCATCACAATACTGTGACAGAAATAATTTCAGATGTTGGAAAATCAGTTCTTAAAAAAATAAACAGTATATTCAGGATCTGTTGGAATACAAATCACATGCAATCACAACTGATGCATCTTCCCTAGAATGATTCAAGGGCTAGCTTTTAGATCAGATGTTGGAAAATCAGTTCTTAAAAAAAATAAACAGTATACTCAGGATCTGTTGGAAAACAAATCACATGCATTCACAACTGATGCATCTTCCCTAGAACGATTCAAGGGCTAGCCTTTAGACTGTAGGACTGACAATTTGATCTGCATCCATGCTTAAATCTATAGCCACATCTACATTTATACCTTTCTGTTTAAGCACACATATGCACACACATCCCATGACTTACATAAGAGACAAATGGTCATCTTAAGGAAATGGATCAGACGAAAAAGCACTGAAACAATGGGTGAAATCCAGTAGCAAGTTGCAACTACAGTAGGCCTACTGAATCAGTGTAGCTTATGGAAGACTTCATTCACTAAATCCCCACTGATTCTATGGGCCTACTCTAGTTGCAGCTTAGTACTGCGTTTCAGCCAATTTACAAGATCTGACACTTCCTACTAACAGGCTTTTGAGGTACAACTTGCAGTTCCTGTCAAACTCTAATAATTAAAGAAATTATTTGTGGATGGATGTGATCTCGTTTCTTAAAGATGTTCAAAACAACACAATACAAGTACTTATCAATTGTCATTTGGGCAAAGAATATCCTATTCTGGCTCAACAATTTGGTCTATGTAGACTACAGAGGGGTGTGTATCAGAGTTTCTCATATTTTTGAAATAAGTCAGCTCTAATGTGCCTAAAATATACCAAGCTGAAGCCAGAGGACTCCTATTATACAACTACTGTGTGATGTCTCAATAGTTCAGGATGTATTTCATGAATGCGTAGCCTGCTTTTCTACAAAAGCAGACAAGGCAGATTACTTAGAATGAACACACACACACTCATACATGTGGACTTCTTTTTTCCCCCCCAATATCCCCTGGGATGTGAATCTCTTCTTTCCAAAGCCATACTTCTCTCCTTTCTCCTGATATTCAAACTGCTGTCTCACTATGCTGACAAGATCCATGTACAGTATTGCTGAAAGGCAAATGCTGCCATTTTTCTTATATCTGTATTCAACCCAACCGTATTCAACCCAACCCTTACTAATATACTGAATATATATTTCTCAGGAAATATATTTCTGAGAAACATAAACTCTTCTTTAATGGTTCCGACTGATAGGAAATTCCCAGTCTTGTGCCACAAAACAACCATAGTATTCCGGATGAAAATTAATTATAATGAAAGTCTCCTAGGAGTTCTACAGTCTGACTACTGTGCCTCTGCACAATTCATTACAGTAGGCTTACATGTTCTAGTCAACTTGTGCTGGGAAAATAGGCAAGAATGCTTCTAACGAAGTACTGTAATTGAATCTGTTCCAACATAGCAATCCAAAGCAACTGAGAAGGCTTCCTACTGCATCTCTGCATATCACCACTCCTGCCTTGTCTCCTTCTCAAATAATAATAATAATACAACAATAATGGAAACAAATACTATTTTCTTGCCATGCACACATCATATGTTTATAGCTTTTACTTTCTAACCTTCTGAAGGAATGACACTTGGTGGACAGACTTAACAATTGGAAAACACTGAGCAACCATATCTCAGTTGCAATAGCAGTTTACCCTAAATATGTGATTACATTCACATATATGCATGTACAAATGTCAACTTGTTCTTCAGACTCTGAATTCTATTTTAAGGTATATCATATTGCAACATTCCTGCTGCAATGAGTAGTCTTAAGTATTAGTAGAAAATAATCAAGTTAAAATATGTAAGTGTAACATAGTAAAAATAGTGCCATTATTACTTTCAATGACATAGCTTTACCAATAACAAGAGAAATGTTGGAGCCCCTTAAAAAATCCAACTAACATAAGTTTTCAGTCTTTTCCAAAGCATTAAATAGAAACATTAAAGACGTATGTACCACTGGACCATTAGATATCTATTTCCATAAGCTTCTCCACTTTCTTGCAAGCACAATTCAGAGTATTCAGGGTAAGAAATTGCAGAAGTGCCAAACAGAGTTTTGTAAAACACCCTGGAAATTAATATTGAAGAACAATGTTTGTTTGTTTAGTATATTGCCTCATCGTGCATACACTCTCTGTGAGGTTTACAACACATTAAAACATATAAATGCAATATATACCCAACAATAAACACATAAAATAGATAAAACCTTGTCCCTAGCTAAAATCCAACTTCCAATGAAATTAAAATAGATTTGAGCATCTCAGAGAGTTAACAAAAAGCAGCTTTGAATAATATGGTTTTTTACTAATTTTTTGAAAATAGGAAAGGCGTCTGATGAGTCACTGTTGGAAGTTTATTCCAAGGGGAAGAAGCCACAAATAAAAAACATGGTCCCTTGTGTTGACTCTTTTGGCCTCCTTCAGTCACCATTTTTAACATAATGCAAGGAATTTTTAAATACTATATTAAGAAATAAACAGTTGCCAGGAACTCTGATAGTTAAAACATTGGGTAGAAAAGCTCCAAGGCACACCAAAGTCTCCTTATATTTGAATGGTGGGAGCCGATCTTTGCAATAATACATTTGAAGTTCAGCTTTTTATTGAAACAAATAGTGGTCATTCTGACTGTATCATCTCTGTATGGGCATTCATATACACAGCTCTGCATTAGGATGACCACACATGATTTAAATTGGAAATCAGTACAACTGAAACACCTCAATTTATTCACAAAGATATTTGTTTATAGCTGTAAGTATGAATCATAGGGACGTGGTGGCACTGTGGGCTAAACCGCAGAAGCCTGTGCTGCAGGGTCAGAAGACCAAGCAGTCGCAAGATCGAATCCACGTGACGGAGTGAGCTCCCGTCGCTTGTCCCAGCTCCCGCCAACCTAGCGGTTCAAAAGCATGCAAATGCAAGTAGATAAATAGGGACCACTTAGGTGGGAAGGTAACAGCGTTCCGTGTCTAAGTCGCACTGGCCATGTGACCACGGAAGATTGTCTTCGGACAAACGCTGGCTCTATGGCTTGGAAACGGGGATGAGCACCGCCCCCTAGAGTCGAACACGACTGGACAAAAATTGCCAAGGGGAACCTTTACCTTTTTGTAAGTATGAATGGGCTGGATCCAAAATTGGCATATTTACTGCAAACTGCTTGACATCCATGAGACTTGTACATTAAAAGCGAAGCTAGCCAGTGTAAATGAGTGAAAGCAGGAATCAGCAAGAGACACCTACAGTAGCTGCACTGGCCACAATGAGACACGTTGGTTTAGTGAGCCTCTCCAACATGGTGGTGCTGGCCGTGGACGGGACCTCCGTTGATGAGACTTGTGTTAACTGTAATTAATGTGCCTCACAGATTTTAATAGGCCTCTTCTACTGACATTCACATCCCATTGTGGTTTTGCGGGGTTGCCCCATTTTTAAAAACACATTTTAGGATTTGAATGATGAAAAAGAATTATATTTGCAAGAAACATGTATAGCAGGAAGAAGTAGGTAGAACAACATAATAAAAACTTCTAAGGATAAATTCCAGAAAGGTTATATTATGGCATGCTTATTGAATCATCTTATCATTTTTGTGCTTTGTGTTATTCAGCCTGTAAGATGTAACAGGATGTCTGTTTTTCAATTGTGTTGTTAGCTTTCTGAGATGCAAACAATGCAACTTCCAATTCTGTTCAATACCTCATAGGGAGATTATAATTTATAAAGAGATGTTTTAATGGTGGACGTGATAAGATACTCTACTTTATAACATATGATCAAAATGTCAGATATGGTAAAGAAAAACATTCCTTAAAATATAAGTAGTCAGTAATAGAATCTAAAAGTTCAAGTCTTTCACAGCTGCATGAATTTACTCAGACAGCAAGACAACGATGAATTAACCTACCTTATCAAGACCTGGGCTAAAGCTTGATATGCTCTCCCTAGACCCGTGTAGTCTCCCAGCATTTTGGATATTTCCAAGTAAGTATTCAGCTTCTGTAAGACAAAGAATATATAACGGTACTGTCCATATTTTTGTCCACATGGTAGAATAGTTATGAATTTCTTTATTGATAGCTACACTTGTTTAAAATCATTTGTGCAATAGGTTTTTATAATTGTTTCATTTTTTGTTGTTGTTTAGTCGTTAAGTTGTCTCCGATTTTTCTTGACCCCATGGACTAGAGCACGCCAGGCCCTCCTGTCTTCATTTTACTGTGGGCCTGATACGTAAACTGTCCAATTTAATAAAAATGTGTCACTATTTTTTCATATTAGGAAGCCAAAGAAATGAATTCTTGCTATCAAAGTAGTTTATCAAATTTGCCAGTTGTGCATACCTGTAGGGTAATGATGAGATAACATACTAAACTTGCCTTATCTGCACCTATATATGACACCAATCATTCACATACAGTTTCGCATTAATAGTTATAATGAGATTTTGTTTGTTTATAATTCTCCGAAGAAATGAGTTGTAATGGATTATATATAATTTAACATATGAGGACAATCTTTAAAAAATGTTTAATACATATTCTACATGTATTTCTAATTATCTTTGCACAAATGTGATTTGCTAATATTCATTTGGAATGCAGTCTATTAATGTGGCCTCTTCTGTAGGCAAAGGATTACAGCAGCCACCAAGAAACATACGACCTTAATTTAATTCAAACACTGACATAATCTGCACTGCAGAATGTTTTCCTTTTTCCCAATATGTGGAAGAAAAGAATGCATATACAATGGATTCTCAATTTTCTTCCCTCCTTTTTAGTTCTTTGACCCAATCTATTACACACATGAGGACACAAGTACTCTCCAAAGACTACCCCCATGGAAATCCTTTTTGCACATTTTGACGAAAAGATTAGTGGATTTCATTTACCAGGCTTGAAGGGGGATGGGAAGTGAAAGAGATGACACTGGAGAAATTGAGCCAGAAAGGTTGACTGGATGTTCTGGTGTATCTTAAGTAGGACACACACAACTCATGCTGAGGAGTTTTTAAACCATTGTTGAATTTTAGTGACAAGGTAGTTTGTTTCTTAGGCAACGGCTAAGCTGACTAAACAGGGTCCGTGGGGAGGACCCACTTCCCAACAGAAAAGAGGGGTGTGAGTAATCTCCTCCAGCACCCACAAAAGACGGATATACAGTGATACCAGCAGTGGCCCAACTGAGAGTAGAGTAAAAAAAGAGCAGGAAAGAAGAGTGAGAGGAGGGCAAAAATGGGAGGAGCCAATAGTAGAAGGATATCTGGTGACAGGGGCTGAGAAGAATTTAGAAGGTGAAAAGAAGCTAGACTGGGAGACTGAGGGGGCAAAGGAGGGGGAGAAAAGGCAAAGAAGGGAAGGATTTGAGGTACAGCTGGGGGAAGCAGAACCAGTGGAATGGATGGTGTAGGTGTATCCCAAGAAGGAGAATTGTTGGAAGAAGGGGGCCAGGCCAATGGTGATGCCTCAGCCAGAAATGCCCACGTAGGGAGAGTGGGCTCAGCACCCCTGTTGCGGTACCATATGTCCCAGTCTGAGGAAGCCCATGAAAAAAACCACAGATTGTGAACGATTTGGAGTAAAACCCCGATGGTGAACTCTCTTGTGACACCCGAGTTAAGGGACTGTTATGTTAAATGCAGGGAAACTGGGGACCAGTTGGTTCAACTGAAGTTGTTGTTCATGGTTCTCTGGTGTTTGAAAATAAAAGAAACCTTTATGAAGAAGGCCTGTCTCCACTTTTTGGGGAACAAAAAGGGGAATGGGGTTTTCCCAAGTTGAACCCACTCACAGGGGCTCATCCAGGCTAGATGTTGGAAACTTGGAGTGGACATTTGCCAGCCATTTCTAATAACACACTAAGAACCTCATATAGGGATACAACACAAAAGGTTAAAGCACTCAATTAACACAGAAATAAAGATTTTGTTCAGAGTGCATTGTGAAATGAACTTACCTTATTTACACATCCCAAACTTACTCACAGATAGAAACATAGCTATGCTTGCGATTCTGCTGTTTCTTGAACTCCACAATGCAAGTTTTGATATTTAAGGTATCATAAGTACATTAAACACATATTTTATGACAACGCTCACATTTTATCAAAACAGTGATATGGAAATATGTATTCTATAGTAAAATGCATGTAAAATGCACATTCTAGGATATAAACCATATAAATGGTTACATTTTATGGTTACATTTTAAATAGAAATGAGAAGACTGACTTATGAATAGATGTGAAATTCACGGAGATTGAAAACAATCTGATCCATCCATCTCTAGTAAAAATCTAACTTCTGTGGTTAGAGCATTGCAAAGCTCTTAAAGCATTCTGTTGAACAGGCTAATTATTTGGTTTCTTCCAACTGACCTCTCTCTGTAATTCATAATAATTCTTCCACTTCCATATTCTGTTAATGTAATTTTGTTTTCTTGCTACCATCTTCAAGTTTAAAATTATATTGGTATGATAGAAATTTAAAACTTTTCAGTATATACAATTTAATACATAATCAGCACTGTCTTTCTCATTATTTATATGCAGCAGATCCTTTGCCCCTATCAAATAGTTAATATGGAGTGGTAACTACTGAAACTCTTAGGGCATCAACAGGAAAACAGATAATGCTAGGGAAAAAACCCTAAAATGAATCCTAACATTTTAAGGTCTCTTCTTGATCGTTGTTGAAGAGACAAAGAAACCTCCTGCAATGCTGACTCAGGTGTTACCAATGCATTAAAGTCTATTAGAATTTTTCAACAGCCTGAAGCATTCAGTTCAGTGAATTTAATTCAAAGCTTCTAGCTCTTCCACAGATCTCTATTTTATTAGTATTTAGTATTTGGGATAAAATGGCATACAGTACTTCAGTGCAAATTCATGGAATTTTGTATTGCAGAAGCATATCCATGCTGGCAAATATGGGTCTGATATTTCAGTACAGTAATTATGTTTTAGATTTAAAATAAAATTTTTGCTTCATGAATCAGAAAGTATGTAATTGTTTTCAACATACCATCTGTCATGTATTTCTCTAACTTGGACATGTTATACATAAAGGTAGACAAACTCTCACCTAATATGATATTTTCAATAGTATATTAGTACAGTCCAATAACCAAAATATTTATTCAAAATAATAGATTAATAAATTAACATGAATGACAAAGGAATTTATTTATTCTCTTAATAAAGACATCTTACAGGTTGACTGGAAAATGTGTGTGTGGAAAGACAGCCATGCAAAGCATATTTCTCTCGATATAAAAAGCATTTAATTAATAAGAAAAATGTGGGCATATTCTATTTTCAGCTACACATTTTCCCCATGTGGTAGAAGGAAGCTATATTCTACATGTTTTATTGGCAGTTTGACAGTCAAAAATACATATTCTGGTATATACGCATGAGTGTGAACAATTTTTCCACACAGTGCAAATATATGAGATGTATCAAGAATTAATAGCAAATGCTGAAGCAGAGCACTCCAGCTGAATGAAGTAAAAATAATTTCAAAAACAGGCATATTTGATATAAAATGAGGATTGGAAAAAAAATCTGCTTTAGTAGAAATGTTTGGAATTTCAATTGTAAGCTTGAATTGTATTTCTGTTGTCTTAGCATTAAATATGTATCTCCAAGGTCAGACCTCAAGATGGAGGTCATCTTCAACCCAATACTGGATCTGTGGGCATTGTCTTACACCTGAAATTCTCTTCCTTACTACTATCTATAAATCAGTCCTCATCATCCTTGAGTTTTCTTTCTGCTATATATGATGAGAGCCAATGTACAAATATGTCAAGCTGCAGTACATGTTTTTTTTTCTAATATTGTATACATTCTATGATTTAAAACAACTCCTGCTGGTCTTTATGAAAGTCTATTCATGACTAGCACGATTATTTCAGTTTTCCTAAAACAGTTTTCATCTCCCTCATTTGTGTAGCACTATCAGCTGCTGTCACTCCTCAGCAGAGCATTGAAAAGTCAACATCACTTCCACTTCAAAAGTCTTGTTACTAGATATTTCATGTGTGTTCTTTTAGCCAATGTTCCCTGCCAAGTGGCAACCAATACATAAAAAGGTACAGCATAAAACCTAGCAAATTTTTGCTATGGTTGTCATGGTCATCCTGCAATGGTGCATTAAGCAGTACATAACAATGTCTCATTTCTATTTTCTAATCCCATTGGCAAATTTGATATAAAGTTATCTCTCCCTACCCTGAGTTCACTGACTTCATTATACAATATGAATGTGAAATCTGCAAATATATGCTTACTCTTTCAACTGCTGATGGTACCTGCCACTTTAGCGGCCCTGGGGACCAACTGTATTCCCCCATGCTAGGCAATAGGTTTTTTTTTAATTATCTGCATACATGAAATGATTTGGTCTATATAGTTAAAACTTCAAAATAACAAAGTGTTCTGCATTGGTTCTTTAATAAGAAACACTTTCCTCAACGCAGAGATAGTTTCTACATGTAGTGGACACTCATGTAGGATGAGATATGTATTGCATGCAGTGTATGTCATGTGTGATAAGATACATGTTACATATCTCAGAACACTTAGTATATTATTTTCTGGTTTAATTGTTGACCTGAGGATAAAGATATGCAATTGCTAGCATACTGATTTAAAATCATCTATAAAAAATTGCTTCTCTGTGTGTGTACTTCTCAAGAAGAATGTCCCAGGCAGTGATATTACATTAACATGTCCAAAACAAGAATTCTTTCTTTTGTGAGCATTCTATTGCAGAATGAGTGACATCTTTCCATTCTAAAACTGCAGCAATTCATTTTTGATAAGACAACAGATCTCTGTTGGGGATACAGAAGCAATGCCAGTTACTCCATAAAAAATGCTGGAATTCCCTGCGAATTAATCCAAGTATGGGGGCTTTGTTTTATTAGCTGGATTCAGATGTAGTCAGCATTAATGGAGCTAGAAGTACCCATTGCAAACTTATGCCCCACTGA